TCATTGGAAAAACAACTGACCTGGAAAATAGATCCAGGAGAGAGAATTTAAAAATTATTGGACTATCTGAAAGCCATGATAAAAAAAAAAAGCCTAGACATCATCTTTCAAGAAATTATGCAGGGGAAAAAATGGTCATTCAGTGAAATAGAAGACTTTCAAGTATTCTTGAGGAAAAGACCAGAGCTGAATAGAAAATTTGACTTTCCAATACAAGACTCGAATGGAACATGAAGAGGTAAACAGGAAAGAGAAAATCATAAGAGACTTATTAAGGTTGAACTGTTTACATTCCTGCATGGAAAGATGGTATTTGTAACTCATGAGACCTTTGTCAGTGTTAGGGTAGTTGGAGGGAAAAAATTATATGTACATATATATAGATATAGATAGTTAGATAGATAGATAGATAGAGGACACAGGGTGAGTTGAAAATGAAGGGGTCATATCTGGAGAATAAAATTAAGGGGTGAGAGGATTATTCTAGGAGAAGGAGAAAGGGAGAGAAGAACGGGGTAAATTATCTCAAAAAAAAAACAGAAAAGAGAAGGCTCTTACAGTGGAGGGGAAACAGGGGAAGGTGAGAGGGAATGAGTGAATCTTATTCTCATAGGATTTGGCTTAAGGAGGGAATAACATACACACTCAATTGGGTATGGAAATCTGGCTTACCCTACAGGAAAATGGGGGGGGGACAAGAGAGTAGGGGGATGATAGAGAGGGGGGCAGATTGGAAAAGGGGGTAATCAGAAGCAAGTACTTCTGAGGAGGGTCAGGGTCAAAAGAAAGAATAGAATAAATGGAGGGGTGGGATAGGATTAAGGGAAATAGTTTTTCACAGCATGTCTACTATGGAAGTGTTTTGCATAACTACATTTAGTTGCTTGCCTTATCAATGAGGGTAGGTGGGGAAGGAGGAAGGGAGAAAATTTGGAACCCAAAGTTTTAAAAGCACGTTTAAAAAAAATGTTTTCACATGCAACTGGGAAATAAGAAATACAGGAAATGGGGTACAGAAATCCATCTTGCCCTACAGGAAAATGGAAGGGGAAGGGGATAAGAGAAGTGGGGGGAGAGATAGAAGGGAAGGCAGACTAGCGGAAGGGGTATTCAGAATGCATGCCATCTTGGGGTGGGGGAGGGGTGAGATGGGGTGAAAATTTGGAACTCAAAATCTTGTGGAAGTAAATGTTGAAAACAAAAAAAAATAAATAAAAATTATCAGATAAAAAAAAATCCAATTCGTCTTGCCTTAAGAAATTTAACTGACCTTGGGGATTGTGTGAGGAGATTGGGCCTAATATCTTTATTTCACCAAGCTATCCTTAAAGGATGTGTGGCTTGCTGTCCAAAAGTCTGGGATGCTATTTCTCACCTAGACTCAAACAATGAGCACTTCTTAATCTGATGAGAGAAGGGTGGTTGTTGCTTGTTCTGATTACCAAACTTCCAACCAATCATGTTGTTCTCTGCATCTCAGCTTTGTAACCAGTCAATTTGTGCTCAATCTCATGACATCATCTATCCTGTTTTGTGTTTTCTTCCGTACTCCCCAAAACCTGTAAAAAGGGAGCTGTGTGTCTGGGTCTTTGGTATTAATGGAGCCAATTCATTGACCCATTTTTTGGCAGGCAGCATGCCCCTGTTAATAAGTTACGCTGTTCAGAGATTTGCCCCAGTGAACTCCTTTAGCAATCTTGTAAAACCTATGGACCCCTTCTTAAAATAATGTTTTTATCTGCATAAAATAAAATAGGATTGCAAAGGAAACTAAAGGTTAATGAAAATAAAAATATAACCTTTTTCCTCATACAAGTTCATAGACCCCTTAAAAGTATATCATAGATCCATTTGGAGCCTATGGACCCCATGTTAAAAATTCCCGCTCTAAATTGATGATTGGAATCCTTGATGCAATAAATTACTGTGCTGCTCCTCTGAAAGACTTGTCTTTTGAATGGGTTGTATCAGTAGTAATCATTGTTTGGGGGAACTTATGTAATTGTTTACAGTAAAAATATTTGAGTTGATGAAGTGGTGATTACATCATTACATGCATGAAGCATAAAAATGTTTGATAGAACCATTGTGAAATTGTGCTTACTTTATATCTTTTCTAAAATATTTTATTTTTGAACTGTAACTTCCTTAAGAAAAAGTAATTAGTTAAGAATATATCAATTACCTATTTGATCTTAAATATAATATGGATACTTTAAATACTTTCTATTCCATTTTAGCAGGATAGGAACAAAGACAAAGCTCACTTAAATCTGTACAGGAAATCCTCAAACGGAATGGGGAAGAATTTCTGCCCAACTTACCCTGCTCCCTATTATTAATGGTTAACAAATTCAGTTGAACAATTCATAATTTATTTTTAGTAAATTGAACAAAGATTCTCTTCTTCTTTACGTATAAGTAGCCATGAATGTTTCTGAGGATTCTGCAGGAAGTATGGTGTTATCATTTATGTGCCTTCCCTGAAAGTCTCTGTGTCTTAGAGCCAGTGGCCATCCACAGGTCACTGATTTTCATTACAAGCAGCAAACATTTACAGAGTACCTACTGTGAGGAGTCTTTAAAGAATTCTTTGAAATCCAATAAGAATGAATCAACTACTGTTCTGTAAAATAAAACCAAGTTTTTGCTATTTTAAGGGTAAATATTTGTTGTCATAAAGACCTGAAAAATATAATTAATTTTGCGTGCTTTGGGTCTGTTGCCTGCCTATACATTCAGATTGCATGATGTGATGTTTATTTTGACATTGGGCAAGAAGTGCAGACTTTGATATATCATCACTGCAATCAGTAATTATTTGAATACTTTAGATATAATACAGTCTTACTAATTTGGCCTATGGCATTGTTATGCTTTGGAAAAACTGACAATTTTTAACCCTATGCATGTCCAACTGACATTTCACTTGTACTGATGGTGGGAGGTGGTCAGGAAAAGTTATATGGAGGGTTTGGGTTTGGAACTGGGCCTTGAAAGGGTGGTAGGATTTGGATATGTGAAAGGAAAAAAAAAGGAGGAATTTCAGGCAGGAGAAACAATTTGGGCAACAGGAACGATGACTAGGAGCAGACAAAAATAATAAAGAAGGCAGCAAGTCATAGAGACATTAGCTAGAATATTTCATTTTAATTGGGTTCAGGCCACACTCAGGAGTGTGGCAGGGAATGTTTGACACTTCTGCTGTATACTGTGTACTATTCTGATCCATCTGTAGAGTGTATGAGATTGAAATACAATTTTGTGTGTAGTTCGGAGGACCAGAGGCAAGAGACTTGTTTATATGGAACCAGAGGCCAGAAGCCTATCAGAGGTCAGTCAGTTCCTGTAGGAAAAAGAAATACTGATTAGACCAACAGACAATCCATTCACAAAGCAATCAGCCTCCAAGAAAGATCTTGTGCTAAATCCCTGTGCAAAATCTCAAGCCGGAAATGGGATGCTTATAGTCAAAGACATTACTTAGCTCGAGTCTTTGAATGGCACCATGGTTTCTTTCATCAACTTGTGGCTGCAGAAACAGCCTTCAGATTATTACATGAATTGTACCCTACTTTCCCCAGCTTCCTCCAGAGACTCACCTCCATGAGTGGCAGCTGCTAATGGGAGAAGGGAAGGTATAGACAAAGCAGGACAACTCATTGCAACAAATATTTAGAAAGCACCTGCTGTATAGGTACCATGGCGTAGTGGATGGAGAGTTGATCTCAAAGACAAGAAAACCTTGTCTAAAGCTTGCTTCTGACACATACCGTCTAAGAGACCCTGGGCAGGTCAGTTCACTTCTCAGTGACCTTGACAACTCTCTAAGGCACCCATTTGCAGAGAAGGTGCAGACTTGAATCGGTAGAGGGAGCACTCTCATCAGGGAGTTCTCTAAACTAGTGGCATTGTAGGCCCGGTCCCTATCCTCTGGTTGTGTACAGGAAGCTAGGCTTATCCTAACCAAGGTCTTCTTCCAGTGAAAGGCAATAGATAGAAGGATAGAGAAAAAAACTATACTAAAAGATAAAGGATAAAATGGATAAAAATGGACAGCTTTACATCACTTGAAGAGGACAACCACAGGAAAATGCTGATGGCTCAGTAAGAGACAGATCAACTCACCTCTTGGAATTTTAGACCATGTTTTGTATGAGTGGGAATCAGTAAAATACTCAAAGGATCTTTTGGGCCCACTGCTAATTGAAAGCACAAAATAGGAAATGTCCATTTGACATAATAGGATATAAACTACATAAAAAGTTAACGTTGCAGCACTTAAAGGGTTAACCCTGAGGTATCTAGAAGACCTGGTTATCCAGAGTGACTCACTCCTCTAATGTCCTAGAATCTGCATAGCCTTAGTTTTACTATTTCTTCTGATAGAAGCCACTACTACCACTTACACCTTTCTGAGAATAAGGAACAATTGAAAAGACTATTACTTTCTATCCCTTCAGTGCCTCAGTTTCCTCATCCATAAAGTCAGAGTATTGGACCCAACCTCCCAGTAGCCCATCCTGAATTCTATGTTTATTACCATTTGAGCAGGAAATCACTGTTGGAGTTGCTGGCCTTTGCAACCACTGACTTGACTTTTACAAAACTGGGTTGACACTAGATAATCTCATTCCACAAGAATGTCCATCTAGCGTTGTTCCACTTGTATATTCAAATAACTTTGGGGTCACCTCCCACCAGACGTACATACATCCTTCCAATGGTTTACAAGCAATTGGCTCATCAGACTGTACTTTGGAGAAATACATCATCTTGGCATCATTTCTGCATTTGCTTCATTTGGTTTGCTTTTATTCTGTTGTTTGTTAATTTTATTTTTTTCCTATGTCATTTTTACCTAAATAACAATTTTACTTGTGTGACACAATGTCAAACACATTGCAAAAATTATATGTGGATAGATAGACAGATAATAGTTGTATGTATCTCTGTCTTTCTGCTTGGATTTTTTCTGTCAACATTCTGTAACTTTTCAGAATTTGCACCATCCTGGGATCGTAAATCTGGAATGTATGTTTGAGACCCCAGAACGAGTCTTTGTAGTCATGGAAAAGCTACATGGAGATATGCTAGAAATGATTCTTTCTAGCGAAAAAAGCCGGCTTCCTGAGCGAATTACTAAATTCATGGTCACACAGGTATTTTTTCTCTTTCTTGAAGTAGAGAATAACTTTAACTTAAAAGGAAAATGATACTTCTATGTAGGAGAGTGGGAGTGGGAGAAATTTATAGACAGTGTACCCTAGGGTTTTTTTTTTTAATTTGAAAGATGTTATAAAATTGAGAACAGTTAAAATACAATGATAATCCTCAAAAAAATTATCTTCAAGATGTCCTTATAACAACCCTCTGCAGTCAGTAGTGTGGGCATTGTTATCCCTGTTTATTTGTATCAAGGGATTGTTCAGGAGAGTTTCCAGTCAGTGAATCCCCTTCAGTCCACTTGATGAGATCATGGCATGGACTTTTGTTGGACTGGAGCATTTGTCATGGAGCTAGACATTCATTCACACTTGACCCTTTGCTGAGGGCACTTTTAGGAGGACATTTGATCATTTCCCACCATTGGCCCACCCTCCCATTACTTGTATAAATAAGTGCAGTGACACACTGAGAAGTTAAGTGACTTTACCAGGCTCACATGAGAGCAGCTTCAAATCCAGGTTTCCTGTCTAGTTTTCTTTGAATGATGACATACTGCTTCTCAATAATAAAGTTGACAAGGGACAATATAGCTTCACTATTCCAATGAAATTTTAATAGATTTTAGTGGAAATTAATTGACGAGACTTCTAGGTCCATTTTTTCCATCCAGCCCAACAATGACTAGGGTGAATGTGAGTTGGGACCAAGCCCCCAGAAACTTGAGCTCCCAATTAAAACTCAATATTATACTGTCCCATTGTTAGATTTTTCTCACTGCCTGGACAAATAAATATCCTAAGAATTAAAATATCATTTTATTTCATTCACAGATACTTGTTGCTTTGAGGAACTTACATTTTAAGAATATCGTGCACTGTGATTTAAAACCAGAGAATGTGCTGCTAGCCTCAGCAGAGCCGTTCCCTCAGGTGGGTGATGTGCTGCTACCTGACACTTCAAAAAAGAGAGTTGATCAGAAGTGGGATGTCTTGGCATGCAGGGCACTGCATGAGGAACTAGAGATTAAAAATAAATGCCATCTCATTAGACATCTTGCTTTTAAATGTGTTAGCCTTTCTTATCCTTTCCACATTATAGCACTAAGGTCTTTCGATTGTCATGTATATTTGCAGTTTTCACTAATATTCAATTCAATATTTATTAAGCAGCTATTACATGGGAGTCACTGTGTAGAGTTTCTAGGGTACAAAGACAAAGTGGTCCAGTTATCTTACATTCTACCTTTTAATGTACAGTCTTCTTACACTGAAAGAACTTAGCTTCTTTCTCTTTTCTTTTTTTTTTTTTTTTAATTAGGCAATTGGGATTAAGTGACTTGGGTCACACAGCTAGTAAGTATCAGGTGTTTGGTCTGAGGCCAGATTTGAACTCGGGTCCTCCTGACTTTAGGGCCGGTGCTCTATCCATTGCGCCACCTAGCTGCCCCAGAACTTAGCTTCTTAAGACTGAAACTCTTCCTGGTGGAGTTTCTCTCCTGGTCCAATAATTTGGCAGGGGAGAAGATGTCAATTAAAAGACTGAAGCTTCCCATCAGTTTTTTTTTTTATCTGTTCATTTATTTATTTGTTCATTGATTGATATTTATTTAATGTCATGGTTAACATGGTTAACCGAGAAATGTGGAACTTGCATGGTTTTGCATATTTTATTTAAATAATTTCAAATTTAAAGTTCTCATAGTTTATAAGGAATATTGAAATAGTTATAATGTTATGCTTTTGGGGTAAGTTTATATATATACATGCATGCATATATATGTATATATATATATAGCTATTTTATAGATATGTGTATATATATATATATGTATATGTATATTTGTATATTGAGCTACATCTATGTAACTTAGTGGTATTCTTGATTTCCAGGTAAAGCTGTGTGACTTTGGCTTTGCACGCATCATAGGTGAAAAGTCCTTTAGGAGATCTGTGGTGGGAACTCCAGCATACTTAGCACCTGAAGTTCTCAGGAGCAAAGGTTATAATCGTTCTCTGGATATGTGGTCAGTGGGAGTTATTGTTTATGTGAGCCTTAGTGGCACATTTCCATTTAACGAAGATGAAGATATAAATGACCAAATTCAAAATGCTGCATTTATGTACCCACCAAATCCGTGGAAAGAAATTTCTGGTGAAGGTAAGGAATTCAGTGAATTTGATTTTATAAGCTTGAGTCTAAACTTACCTCCTTTCCTCCAAAGCAAGTTTCTCCTTTTGACTCCCCAGCCCCATCTGTATCCTCAGAGTCATCTCTGATGCTTTTTACCTGCTACCCATATTCAATCACTCAGTTTACAGACGAGAAAATCAAATATAGGAAGTTAAGTGACTTGTCTACAATCATCAAGCTCTTCTTTCATCAGAGAACTTACCAACTGTCCACATCGGTTCATTTCAATGCTTCCCCCCAGTTTTTCACTGAAATAATTTTCAGTTGTATTGTTCCTGTTTGACTTTGGAAGCTTCCCATCCTTTCTGTCTCTGTAGAGGCTCTGGCCATGGAACCCTATCTCTATTTTCGCAGAACTTTTTAGATGTGTTTTTTTTTTTTTTCCTGAGATTGAAGGTGAATGATGTTAGTAAAAAGAGACTTCAAACAGTCAGCCAGAGAGCTCAAGTCCCCTAGGACTACTACTAGATTTTGCCTCTTAAAGCTTATGGTTTTTATTAAGAAAGCATCATTCATATCTGTGACTGAACTATCTGAAATGTGTTCTCACAATATCACTTCTGTTTCTCTACTCCTTTATTGTCATCACCACACCATTTTTATGGATTTCCGTATTTTTGTATAGTCCACCTTCCTCTTTTATCACAGCTCTTTCTTTTAAGTAATTGGTGAATCAACCAACACATAAAAATCTGTGTGGTTAGCAAAGGAGATAGAGAGACAACACAGAAATCATTCCTCCCCTTACGTAGTTTTACATTTTCTTGGGGAAGACCACATGTATACATATAAATACACATACAAGGTAATTTGGATGGGGAAAGCACCAGCAGTAGGGAATCAGAAAAGGGCTTCTGTAGAAGGTGACGAGTGTATGGGAGGGAAGCAAAGCCTTCTAAGAGGCAAGAGTAGAGAAGTCTGCTAGGCCTGGGGGCCAAACCCTGCAAGGACAGGGGAGCCAGAGAGAGCAGCAAGGAGGCTGGCTTGGCTGGAGTGTAGTGTGTGAAGGGGTTGTGTGTAATAAGGTTGTCATTGTATATTTGACTCTAGAGATCATAGCTTGCTACTGTGGTTTATTGAGTAGGTCAGACTTTCACTTTAGGGAAATATGCAGCTCTATGGAAAATTGAAGGGTATTGAAATTTCAATTCCCATAAGAGGTGATGAGGGCCTGGAGCTAGGGATGTGGCCATATGAGAGAGGGGGACAGATTTGAGATGCAGAAATGAGAAGACTTGACAACTGACTAGATATGTATTCTGAGAGTGGCAAGTCAAGAATGCACCTAGGTGTCAGGAAGATTGGGGGTTGAGTTTGATAGGAAAGGGGATATTTTGGACATGTTGAGTTTGAGACACAGTGTAGACAGCAGGAATAGACCACTTTTCCTAGGAGTTACGGATAAGAGAGGAGATATAGGATGTAATTTAAAGGAATGGAAGGATCAAGTTAGGATTTCTTTTTTAAGGATGAAGGAGACCAGGGTATATGGAACTAGTGAATAGGAAGAACTTGGGGGTGGGGGAGGCAATCTTGTAGAGACAGGAGAAAATAGATTAGAGAACTTGGCCTTGTCAAGAGAAAAAAGCCCTGTCTTCATCAGACTGGAGTAAAGGAAGAGAGAATGAGAGCTGACATCAGGGAATTTGAGGGAGGTCAGATGGCTGTAGACAGATAATATCCTTTTACTCCTAATCATGAGATACCATCCTGCCAAACTATTGTGAAATCTTATTTACCCCTCTTGGGTTAAAAATGGCAAGTTTTGTTTTTTAGTTAACATTAACTTTTCTTTTTTCCTTAGCAATTGATTTAATAAACAACTTACTTCAGGTGAAGATGAGGAAACGCTATAGTGTTGACAAATCTCTCAGTCACCCCTGGTTACAGGTAAAATTACGTTCACTTGCAGTACCTATGGTAATCTATCATTGGCTGATAATGAATTCTCCCATATTGGCAAACAAAATCGTTAGATTCCTGAAGCTCAAGGACATATTTCTCAAACTGATTTACATGGTTAAACTGAATTGTGGGTCGTTGTTTCTGCTGAGATTTCTAAGTCTTTTGTCAACCTTAAATTTTTTCACTGCTGGGTGGTTTGTTTTTTTTTTTACAATACATTGTTCAAAACAAGTTTTTGGAGGCTTTGGGTTCCCTCTAAGTTTTTCATATTGGCCTTAAGTATTGTTTACTTTGCCTTTCTTTTGGGTGTACACCATGCCCGAGCTGGAACACTGGTGAATTAGAACAAAATGATGCTTCCTTTTGATAACTAGTAAAAAGTTCATATATGTAATGAATAGAAATCCTACTTGAAATATATATGTTTTGGACTAGTAATAAAAAATTTGTTCTTATATCAAGATTTCTTATATTGTAAATAGATTCTTATATAGAAATAAATTTCAAGAACCCCAAGCATAATACAAAGAGATATAATGATTACAGAAAAATAAAGTTCTGTAGCGATGCTGTCATTTTTAGAAGTCACCAAATATTGATTAATGAAAACACATATAGGTTCTAAGAGCTTTATTTCTCATTGCAAAAACTGCAGGGGAAAATTACAAGACTTAACTCTACCAGAAAGAAGTGTTTAATTATACTGAAGAACATGAGGCACATACCTTTCTGAGGGTATCTGAAACCTGGTTATCTCATTCATGAGAAACATATACTGAAAAACTAGCTAACAGTTATTTTGATAAAGTTGACTGTTAACTGATTCTTGAACTCTGAAAATATTTGCATAATTTGTGGGATTAGCAATAATTGATAATCCAAAAAGAAAAACAGAACACATCGTTGATATATTTAGAATTTATTTTACGGTTTTGGTTAAAGCATTGTATTTTTTCTCAGGATTATCAAACTTGGCTTGACCTTAGAGAATTTGAAACACGAATTGGAGAGCGTTACATCACACATGAAAGCGATGATGCGCGCTGGGAAGTGCATGCAAATGAGCACAACCTTGTGTACCCAAAGCACTTCATTATGGCTCCCAATCCTGATGATATGGAAGAAGATCCTTAAGTTACCAACACGCTTATTTAAGTATGGAAGGTTTCCATTTGTGAACTGATCTGCATAAATGCTACTCTTGATTAGCCTGTTGTCTGTAAGGGATGTGAGGAAACATGATGTGATATATGACACCAGTGCTATAGTTTGCAAGATTTAGGTACAGGAGAGGAGAAATGAAGCAGAATGAATTCTTGTAAGCTTTCTAAAGTGTGTTATCACATGCAGTCATAATTAGTTTTTGTATTTTTCTATAACCTCAGTTACTGTTGTTTTCTGGCATTTAAATGCACTCTCCCTTTTTCAGTTTTTACATTATGGAAAACCAAGCTAGTAACAGATTGTTTGCCTGATCAAGTTAGCACAAGTAGCAAAATTTGGATCTAGTTTAAAAGACTGGTTATCGGACAGGCTTGCATTTAAGAGATCATTGGGAAACGGTGAGCATATGATTTGCTATTGACTCTAGACATTTATTTGACTGATCCTTGTAGGAGTTGAAGATTTTCCCCTGTATGTGTAAAAAAGGGGGTTACTTGATTCACTTTTCTTTCAAAAGTGAATCAAACTTTTAAATCAGTGATTCCCAACCTTTCTGGAGTTGTGACACTGTATATACTACATGGCAAATAATTTTTAAATTAGTGGATTAATTTTGCTTTGAAAATTTTGTACCACCTTGTGAGATAATGGAATCTACATGGGTGTTTCAAAACCAAGATTACAAAGCATTGATCTAAATGCCAGGTTGGCAGTAGACTCTTACAGCCTGGCTCTGGCTGCTAAATATTCCCGTTCTTATTAACATTTAGTCTCCTACTTGGGAGTCTAACTTTCATTTAGCACAGTTCTATTTATCAGGTTACTATCACACAGGTTTGACTAAAGTAAGAGAAGGGATGAGTGTGTTAAATATTCACTAATGTTATTGATAGGTGAAAGTTTTAAGTAACAACCAAACCAGTCTTCTCCTTTGTATTCCCTGTAATATGGAGGGTCGTACAGCTCTTTAGACTTTTTAACTGAAGTACACCTCTAAGTGATTGAAACAGCAAACACCTTCTGTTAATTGTAAAGTCACCTTTTTTGTCTCTTTAACACTTAATTATCCCAGGCAGCTCACCTGATCCTGGGGTGTAGCCAGGGCTGTGCTAGAGCCTGCTCTGACCCAGTTGTTATATTTTCAGTGTTAGCATTTACACCTTGGAAATTGGCAAATGCTACAAATTAGGGCTCAGGCTTACTGTTTTGTTGATTGTGACTTACTTAAGAAAGTGATAGAGAAAATATTAATAATGCAATTAAATTTAAAAGTACCATGGACATAGTTTCCCCCCCAACCCACCCCAATAACCAGTTGTTAAACATTTACCAGCGCACCCTAGGGTATAACCCACTTGGGGTGTTTTTTTGCCAAATTTTTTAATGTAATTAACCAGTACATATAAAATAGCATCTTAGGATGTCCTCAACACACCTTCCAGCAGCTACCATTGTACAACTGTCACCAGATGTCCTAGCAGTCTTGGACCAATTAATTGTAATAAATAAATTCATACAGCTTATACTTGTGAATTTCTGATCATAATTTCATAGATTTAGAGCTTGAAAACACCTCAGAGGAGGTCTAGTACAACCCCCTCATTGCACAGATGGGGAAGCTGGGGGCAGAGAGATAAGTGATCTGCCTCCACTCACACAGGGAGGATAGTAAGTAGTGAGCTAGAGCTCATCCCATCCTCTGATTCCAAAGTCTGCCTGCATTTCCTCTGTTCCACCTTGCCTCTCTGTGGTCCCCACCAATAGCTGTTAATAGCCCTAACTTAAATGGCAAGACTATAGGCTGCATGGGCAAAAGAAGGCACTTCTCACTTCTCATTTCAGGTGTGGCCCTCCACTCCAGCAGGCTGATGAGAGCAAGAACAGCTGTTTTACTGCCCAGATGTGCACTTGTTCTCTAATCGTGTGGCTTCAGGCCTTTAAGTTGTCATCTGTAGCATGCTCAAGTAATTAAGAAAAAAAACAACACACCAATCTACAAGAAATCTAATCACTTTACTTTATGATATCTAATGTTCCATAGTAGCTACCGTGAAGATTTCTTTTGAATTCTGAAGTACAGACTGTTGTGACAAGTCCAGCTGCATTTAAGGGGACAGAGGAATTTTCTAGTACATTCACAGAACCATGAAACTGGAAGGAAGCCTAAAAAACCATTGCTGTATCTTCCCCTCACTAAGCGAGGGAGTGCCCTGAACATGGTCTTTAAAGATTTCTGATCCATTCTGAAACATCTCTGGGTGACCTCCCTCTGTAATTCTTACAAACTATCCACATTAATGTAGAGACAAAAAAAAAAAGGTGTTAAAAAAAAAAAAAACTTTTGCACCGGCTAAATATATAATGTTATATTTCCTCAAATTCCTTCAAAGTTAGCCTGTTTGTTAAAATAAAAATCAAGGATAAATGAGCCAGATCATAATAGCAGACATGTGGAATGAAGCTGTTCTGGGCCACCAGGCCTATTGTTTCACACAAATGCAGTAACGATTGGGATCAGTGGTAATGGACCGCATAATAATGTAAAAAATAACTGGAATGTTATTAGTTTGCTAAAATTCTGTACTCAAACATTGTAAGCCATGAAATTAATTGCACTCTTTTTTTTGTATGTTTTAAGAAATAAGTCACTGTCAGATAATGTGGAGTTGACTAAATTGCTCCAAAGCTGTATAACCCACATAAATAACCTTTTTATCTTGAATTCAAGTTGTATTTGTATGAGAAGTATTACAATGTTTGCTAGAAATATTTGCTATTGTAAAATATCAAGCTTATGACACTGTCCAGTCCTTTTTTTATATTTTTGTTACATCCTGTTGTTTGTAAATATCTTCTTAATACCTTGGAAATAAACTGTATTTCCCTATTGAATTGATCATTTCTAATGAGAAAATTGGAAGAACTGTTCTGTCTCTTTAAGACCTTTGTAAATGCAAATTTTTCTTTCTTGTTTTGTTGTACTTAACTTTCCTGGATCTCAGTATTGATGACGCTGTTCTGAGGGGAAATTATCTACAAGTGGAACTCCTGCTTCAGAATTAGGGGGCACTTACTAGGGAAACTGATTTTAAAATCATGCTGAAAGTAATTCCTTCTGTAACAAATACTGGGTGAGAATATGAAGGCTTAACTCTCTAATACAGTACAACAGCAGACTTGAGGATGGTATTCTGCATCATTTCATGAAATCCAAGTTAGGGATCATTCTTGCCGTCCACAGTTCCCAAACTAAAACTTACCCTCAGTTGCTACAGTTACTAGAGAACCTAGCACAGTCTAAAGACTTTAATAAGGAAATGTACTTTTTATTTTAGAGGGCAGAGGTATCATTTGATTACCCTAACCATGTAAGTATTATAAAGGGACAAGGGATATAGACTAGACTGAATTCACTGGAACAGGAACTCCTGGATGAGGACGCTCTGTAATCAATGTAGGTGAATATTTTTCCTCAACAGTCTTGGTGAGTTGTCTCCCACGTGGTGTCAAACTCCAGTACCAAACATTAGGATCCCTGCAGGCCACATTCTGACGGTTGGGAAATGTCAATGTTTTATATTATTTGTTAAGTTTTCCCTGTTTCCTTCCCTTCTCTTCCTGTCCCCAAGCTAGGTAATGGGGTTAAGTGACTTGCCCAGGGTCACATAGCTAGTAAGCCCAATTTACTTTTAATCTGGCTTAGGAAGCACTCAGGAGTATTGTGGGCTGTGTTTTGATATCTTTGGCCTAGATCACTGAGGTTAGTTAAATGACTTATTGGGGTCACACAGCCAGCATCATTCAGAAGGAAGATTTGAATGGAGGTCTCGAGGTTTTGAGGGCAACTCATTATCCTGACTTTTAAGTAATTATAAAAAGAATTACAGAATTGAACAGTACTGAGATTTCTTTTCCTCATTATGTTTTGTTTTTTTTTTGCTGTGTCATGGGGTTAAGTGACTTGCCCAGGGTCATACAGCTAGTGTTATATGTCTGAGGCTGGATTTGAACTCAGGTCCTCCTGAATGCGGGGCCGGTGTTCTACCCATTGCGCCACCTAGCTGCCCCACCCCATTATGTTCTGAGGGGCTAACTTTACAAAATTCTGTCTCTGACCAAGTCTGTTTTTTCTTTAAATAGTAATAGTATGGAATACACATACATACTCCATCCCACTTCTAAGATAAAAATGTCCTTAATCAAGTAGGCATCACAGAAAGATGGGCTTTTAATCTTTCTTTAGAACAAGATATGGGTTATTTGCTCCTACTTTCAACTTGTAAAACAAGTTTTTTCCTACTGAGCTAAGTGCTAACATGATATGACTTATTCATAGCAGTCTTGGGGTTTGTTTTATTTGCTGCATCATATTTGAACATTTTTTTTGTGCTCACTTGTCCTGTAAGCTGAAGTTCATGTACAATGTTAAACATAAAACTTGGATGCTAGAAAGGGGAGTGTGATTCAACTTGGAAAATTATTTCTACTAAGTAGTAGTATTTATCTTATGTGCTACTTAGAAGTCTTACATTCTAAGAGTAATAACTGAAGAAAAAAATTAAGGTCGTCATCTAATTTTATAAAAATGAAAGGAAATTCCCATTCTCATAGTAAATTCACTGTTACATCTAAAACAACAGATATGAGTACAAACACACTCATATCCAAAATCCATACAAAATTTCAATATTTCATAATGACCATTTCAGAAGCAAAGCCATCATAAGTTAATAATTTTTATTAAGAGATAGTAAGTTAGTGTATTTGGAGATAATTTACCTGTAGTACAAAGTTGAAAACTAAATTTCTTTAGTGTTCCTTTTCTTGTGTGAGGAACTCAAAATGGGAAAGGAGGTATTTGGTAGTTGGGGGTGGGGAGCAGGTGAACACACAAAAGAGTCCAGGCTGAGGTTTCACTTCCAAACGAGGTCTCCAAAGCCGGCTACAGGTGAGGGTAATGATTTTGATTGGCATGTGCTTCCACCTGAAAGTCTGCGATGAGGTAGTAAGGCAAAAAAATTAAACCGTTCTCCCATCTTCTTGGGATTCATTAGCATATCATAACCACGAATTAGCTGTTGCCGTGTAGCAGTGTCACTTGAATTGTCCAAAAGAACCTGAAAACAAGGTTTTTCTTAGCAATAAATACTTATTGACATTCCTCAAAAACTGGCTTACCAATTGTTTGCTGCTAAAAATTTAATAGTTCAGAATTCTGTTTTTTGTCTATATTCTCTTCTCGAGCAACACAAAATAAGGACCCGAGGAAATGATTCAGGAGTAAATGTAATAGTTCTGTGTTTCAGGCATTCTCTAAATGTTAAATGTTCTCATTTGGAATAACATTTTAAATAGTATGGTATTGACAAAATGCTGGTGCTGAGTTTCGTACAATATTATGAATTTCATTAAATTTCATGTGTTAAGATAAACATACACATATGCATAACTCTACTCCAGATTCACCAGCCTAGCTTATCTGACAAGGAATTTTAAAAAATACTGTATTCACATGCAATTACTGTTACATACTTTCAACTACAACATTAAGACATCTTCGAAACAGTGCTACAAAGTACTTAGATAAGTGACTGTTAAGAGCAGATGACCTTGGAGATCATCTACTTTAGTCCCTCATTTTAAAGATGAGAAAACTGAGGACAATAAAGATGATGTGACTCGCCCAAGGTCAGACAACTGATTTATAGCAGAATTGGAACTAGAAGCCAAGTCTTTACATTTAAGAGGTTTCTTTAAAGTAATATTAAAGGGGGGCCGCTAGGTGGCGCAGTGGATAGAGCACTGCTGGCCCTGGAGTTAGGAGGACCTGAGTTCAAATCTCGGCCTCAGACACAACACTTACTAGCTGTGTGACCCTGGGCAAGGGCAAGTCACTTAACCCCAATTGCCTAAAAAAAAAAAAGTAATATTAAAGTAAGATTTACAAAACATGCAGTGGTTAACAAAAGAGACAATAAACTATTACCTTCAATCGAACATCAATGCCCATATTTTTAAAAAAATTATGTTGTTGTATGGGTCCCAAGGAGGCCACTTTCCCTTGAGTCATTCTACGCAAATAGCTGAAGTCCACGTCAGCAGTTAGGTCTGCTGTTCCTGGGGCAATTAAGACATCATGAAGCTTGTGACCACAAAAGCCCTTAAATATAATTAAGGAAATTATTAGTTTTACTCTGACTACCAAACTGTAAGAACAAAAATGCTATAATTTTTAAGTACATAGTTGACTATCCCGGGGTGGGGAACCTGTGACCTTCTAAGTCCTTGGGTACGGCCTTTTGACTGAATCAAGTTTTACAGAACAAGTAATTTTATTAAAGGGATTTGTTCTGTGAAGTTTGGATTCAGTCAAAGGGCCCCACTTGAGGACCTAGAGGGCCACATGTGGCCTCAAGATTGCAGGTTCCCCACCCCTGGCCTATACTATAGCTAAAATTAAGAGGAAAACACAATACTAGGATAATTAAGAACTTAGCAACTAAGAGATCTGACAACTCACAATAATCATTAGTCATACTAGGCTTTGGACTTGAAGAATGTGGAGAATTCATGAAAGAGTTTACAGGTAAGACAGAAGGCTGGATCTTGGGGATTAAGATCTAAGGGTAAAGATTAACAAAAAAAAGTTAATTATAAAATTAGTCTTCCACAAAAATCCTCCTTTGGTGCTTTCTGTAGTACAGAAGTGACCCTGGATTCTCCAAGACTCTTGCCAATGGAGCCCAAGCTCTGGCAGGTCCTGCCAGGCTCAAAGTACAGGCGCGATGAGGTACCAGATCTATCATTTGGTAGCCAGTGTTCAGAGCTCATTACTAGACTGGTGCAGGGTGAAGATTAAGTCTCAGAAACTCTCAGACTACCTATTCTTTTCATTCAAATCACACTTATTAAGAACTTATTTTGGCATGGTAGGAGGAGCTTAAATGACAGACAAAAATGAACCATTTCTATCCAGTGGTGGCGTTGGAAGTCATTTATGCAAGGGGTTGAAAAGTGAGTGGTGTACTGAGCACTGGTGATGCCTGCCCTGGAGTCTTATATGGAAATGGCATTTCTAGGTCATTTCAAAGTGGCTCCCTTCAGTTACAGTCTGGCCAGTGCCCTTCACCACTGATCTCTGGTGTCAGAATAAATATTCTTCAGCAGCTCTACCTGCCTCATCTAACAACGTGGCATCTATGGAGGGCACATTTTCTCAAACAAGAGGAGATGACCTCAAGATGATATATTTTTAGACAATGCCAATGTGGCGATTTATTTTCCTAATAACCGTGCACAATGATTACAAGGATTTTGTTTTATTTATTTCTTTTCCAATGGGGGAAGGGTGAGGGAAGGAAGGAGGCAGTAACCCCAACCCCACCCCAAAATAAATGAAAAATAAAGAGTACAGAAGAGAATACAAGTAAGGTTGGAGATAATCACAAGCAGGACAGCTTTGAAAGTGACACGTTAAATTCATTATATAGTTTAAAAGAAAAGCAAGCCACATAAGAGAGATTTGCAGTTTCTTGTAAAACCCTCTTTTCTGTTCTACATATATGGAAATGCTCATTTTATTTGGTGTTTAAGTTTAGAATTTAAAAAATGAAGTTCCAAGAAAAGTAGGGGCAAGGATATAAATTGAGCAATAACAAGCAATAACAAATAAGGATGGTATTGGGAAGGTTGAAAGAAGAGGCTCAGAACAGCCATGGGTGGAGGGAAATAGTCAACGAATAAAATATTTCTCAACAGCTGTGAGGGTGCTATTGAAACGAGATAATACAACTTTGTCGGGTACTCAGTTGACAAGCCGGTATAACTTCTAATGCAGGGGTTCTTAACCTTTCTTGTATCACAGACCCCTCTCGCAATCTGGTGAAGCCTATGGATTCCTTCCGCATTTAAAAACACAGGATTACAAAGAAGCCAATCATACTCAAATACAGTCACCAAAACCTTTTTTTAAGGTTCACAAACCGTGAGTTAAAACCCTTCTCTAAAGGCATTCAACAGCTCAGGAGTAAAATCAGAAAAGCAGATGGCTGAGATAATATAGGCCTGAAAACTGTAAGGGGATAAAGATTGCTAGGCCAAGGGGGCAGGGAGTCGAGGGAGGATGCCAATGGAGAGCTGACCTCCTTAACCATCTGGTGAAAACTTGAGAAGATGGAGGCCAGGCATGATGGTAGTTACTGGGACAGACAGACATAAGTGACAAAGACTCTGCCCTTCAGGGGCTTACATTCTCCTAGGGGACAGAGTATACATTGGGAAGCTCATAAGGGAAAGGGAACTTTGGCCTCAGAAGCCAGAGACTGTGAATAAAGTCACAGGGCATAATCTGTCAGGTCCTCTTGAGCAACAATGTTACTATTGATTTAATTATTGTTTCCTGATCAAAAGTTGAGAAGTTAGAGAAAGTAAGAGAAACGTGGACAGCAGCAGGGTAGATGGCAAGATGCCCATGCCCATGCTGGCTAGGTCCTGCTTGTCTTTGTAAATGGCTGGATCAATCAACCTAGCAACCAGTAAATATGTATTAAATATCTACTGTGTGCTCTGCCCTATGTTAGGTGCTAGAGATACAGAAACAAAAATGAAAGTCACTGCCCTCAGGGAGCTTACACTCTGTTGGGGAAACATGTACATATATAAGCACCTACAAAATAAATACAGAACCTGGGTGATGGAATGGGACGACAGGGTTTGGGGTAGGACAGAGGGATTGTATCACTGCTGACAGCTTTCAATTTGTATGAGTGGAAAAGACCCACATGAACAAAACTGCATAATGCTGAAATGCTTAGAATGTAAAATAAATTTGCTTTTATGAGAAGTAGGAACCCTGGTGATTAGTCGGCAGCATTAATATGTCAAACATACTCTGAAAGTGTCCATCTTTGTTCCATCATGGCCGTAATCAGCAATCAGAGCAGCACCTCCGCTTTCTTCAATTCGTTCAGAAAGTATCTGAATGATAACACCAGCATCAGGACACACTTCCACATGATCCCTTGTTTCCTTGGGCTGGCACAGACAAGAATGCAAAAACAATTGGTCAAAAGGGGTCATACACAAAACTTTATTGGTACGGACATTTTCTCTGTAGTTTAAAAACAATTAGCTTTCAGATGTCTTTTTTAGGGTTCCTTACTTTTAAGTAATTCCATGTTAATCTCTGTGTATATATTTGTTATCTGGTATTCACATATTAGTAAAGAACTTTGGTTTCCTCTACTAAAGATTCTACTAAGTGTCTGCATTACTGTTACTAATTTTATTTTACTCAGATTTACTATTTTACTCAGAGAAACATGATTTAAACACATTTAGGACTATTATAATTGTTACTGATATAAATCTTCAAGTGATATAACCTATACCTTAAAATTATTACCTTTTAATTTAACATCAGTGTGTGAGGCCTCCAATTCCTCAAGATGATTAATTCATAATTAAATTATAAGCAAACTCCAAATATATTTTGAATTTTCCATAGCACAGCAGGGGGTACATAGTATCTGTTGATTCAAAAAATGAATTTATCATACTTGTTAACTTTAGTTAATATACCCTAGTTATTTGTCTTGTTCTTTATTGTAAACTTCTACTGGCAACAGTTCTGATGGTTCTAGGCTGGCTTCACATAATGTCCATTTCTTCCAACTCCAAGGGCATTTAGGTCAATACATAGCCTCAAATTTTCCTTAAGTGCAGTACTAGATGTGCCTTGGAAAAGCGGCAAGACACGGGGCATTTGACTTCTCCCAATTCTTTTGTGCATCACAGCAATTAACACTATTAAATGGAATGTCCAAACAAGCACAAAATGAGTTTTGTTCTATACAATGCATGGTCACATCATGTCCACACAGAAATGGTGCAGCTCTGCCTGTCCACTTCTCCCCTCCTCACAAGGGATACCTGAACAGTAATATAATCCCTACTACAACCTACCTAGTGAGTGGGCATGTGGTCTCTGCTTGAAGACCCCTAGTAATAGGGCACCTACTAGTGCACAAGGCAGCTGATTCCACATTTATATAATTCTATACATTAGAGCATATGGATTTATATAAAACTTTATCCACCTTTCTGTAAATTCAACCTGTGGTTCTTAGCAGTTCTTTCTGAGAATTAAAAAGAATGGGTAACCCTCTTCTACAACAGAGCCTTCAGAAGGTATGAGGGCATAGTAGATACAGCTCTGGCCTTGGATGAAGAAAGACACAGGTTCAGATTCTGCTGGGGATATTTATACTAGTTATATAATCAATCAAACAAGTATTTATTAAATCATCACTATGGGCTAGGCCACGGGTAGGGAACCTGGCCTCAAGGTCACATGTGGCCCTCTAGGTCTTCAAGTACAGCCATTTGACTGAATCCAAACTTCACAGAAGGTTCCCCACCCATGGGCTAAGCACTGTGCTAGGTGCTGGGGATATAAGCAAAAATAATGAAACAATCTGTTTCTGAAGGAGAAGACAAGCAGTACATATATAAATCATAAATTCATCATAAACAGAAACAGACAAAAATATATACAAGGGAGTTTTGGGAGGGAGGGCGCTAGCAGGCTGGGGAGTCAGGAAAGGTTTCATGCAGAAGGTGTTTGATCTTAAAGGAAGGGGGGATGTGAGGAAGGAGGGTATTCTTGGCATGTGCAAAACTTAGAGTCAAGGCACAGAGCTGAGAAATGGGAATATCATGTGTGAGGAAAAAGAGAGAAAGCCTGTTTGTCTGGATCACAAGGGTGTGGGAGGAGGAGTAATGTCCAATGAGGCTAGAACTAGAGCGTGGGGTCAGGATATGTAGGCCTTTAAAGCAAAATAGAATTTACATGTTATCCTGCAGGAAACCAATGGAACTGAATGCACAGGACCATCCCGGGGTCAGTTCTGTACCTGAGGGAAATAATGCTGGCAGTCGTGTTAGGATGGTCTGGAGAAGTGAGAGACCTGAGGCGGGGAGACCACTCAGGAGGCTGTTGCACTGACCTAGGTGAGAGGTGCTGAGGGCCTGGGTGAGTGGACAGACGCGAGGGCCACAAGAGACAGGGTGCAGGAAAAAGAGATAACTGCGCCTTGTTGGTGTGTTGGAGGGAAGCGATATTACACATACAGTACTCTGTAAACATTAAAGGCCCCCTGAAGTAGCTGGCCATCACTGCCTGGTACTCATTCTTTTACACTGCACTTGTAACCTTCTGGGAAGTCCTTGTGATGTCACGCTGAGTGCCCCCATTCACTAAACAAGGGTAAGTAACCACAAAATCCTCCATCACTATTTTACTCGCTTTGGAAATGTTCATAGCCTCAAACTAGGAAGAAACACACTCATGGATGCATAGAATGTTCATACTGGAATGGACCATGGAGATCATCCAATAAATTCATTTCAACTAGGGAAGTTAACCAGAGAAATGAAGTGACTAATCAGAACAATAAATTAATTTCTGCCTAATGCTAATCTTATGCATCAGTTGATCAGATGGATAAATTTTAGGGATTATAGTTTAAGTGTAATGGGAAACTGCTCATTATTTTTATAATTGTTTTTAATAAGAAACTAACACTACCATATTTTATTAATATGAGTAAGAATACAAAGCTTTATATTAAAAATACTTTTAAAAAATTTTTAGGAAGTAATCTCTATATCCTCTTAAGTTCTTGATTAGAGTTCATTGCATGGAAATTCTTTCCTTGAGATGAAAAGGAAAAAGAAAAAGACAGTTTATGAAAAAGTCAGATATGCTTGGGCAACTGGATCCTTTAACTGCTAACAAATGACCTCAGGTCCTAGTATAAATTCTTTTGATTGGGCCACAAGATCAAGTGAACAAAAAAACAGTAATTACACTGCTAAGCTGGATGAGTTTTTGGAATGTAGTCTTAGTGCTGGGTTAAATTGGGAGGAAGGGAAAAACACCTTTCTGGCAATAAGCATGCCTTAAGGAGGGTAGCTCGACCACGTTCCATCTTAAGAAAGAAAAAGGATTTCTGACAGTCTACAGTGAGTTTAAGGGGCCAAAGGGATGAAGATGATACCTTCCTGACAGTAGCTCCTGGTTGTTTTCAAGCACCTTTTGTTTAAAAATAGAACATGAACTGTGAGAATCTCCAGCCTCTTGACTATTAATAGGGCAAGGTCAGTATCAAGTGGTATCTATTTTTCTGTCCCCGGTTCCTAACACTGAAGTACTATGCACTTTATAAATACTGAGCTGAATTATTTTTAGGGAATATTAGAAAGTTGTGAGAGAAAGTATACACAGTTGGGAGAATAGGATCATCATAGATATGGATCTGGAAGGGGCCTTGGACACCATCTAGTCCAATCTCTCATTTTACAAATGAGGAAACTGAGGCCCTGAGAGGTGACATACGTTGCCCAAAGTCACACAGGTAGTAATTAGAAGAGCCAGGATTCAAACCCAGAGTTCCTTACTCCAAATCCAGCACCCTTTACACTGGACCCCACAGTAAAGAAAGAGCCCACAGATTTTAGATTGATTATTGCTCTAAAAGTATCAGTAAAAACAATAATAATAAGTATTTTACTTAAATAATGTATCTAAACAGTACCAGAGGTTTTGGTCAACTTATTAGAGAACTGTATCTGTCCCCTTTAAAATGCCAATCTGGCCACGGTGTGATTGCCATCTAGTGGCCAAACTGAGTAAAGGGGCTTGGAAAGACAAGGTGACCTTGAATGTTTATTTTGATGAAAATAAATGTAATCTTCTGATGAAAACTAGAAACTGAGCAAATGCACTATATAACTTTAATGCCCTTTGAAAATATTGCAGGAATATTGCACTCAGTGGTTTAGTACTAAAAGATGCCACTACCAAAACAATATCCCAAAGAATTGACTTGACAGTAACACACGTGTGTGTATGTATATATGTACAAATACATACACACATACACACACACATATATATCTACCTATATCTATATATGTCTATATGGATACAAAATAAGTGCTCCACAATTGGATCTTGGCTGAACAAATTATAGCACAATGCTGTTACCATAAAGAATGACAAATATGAAGAATTCACAAGGACCTGGGAAGACTTGCATGAAACAATGCACAGTGAAAAAAGCAGAGGCAAAAGAACAATATACGCAATGAATGCAATGATAAAGGGGAAACAAAACTGGTCAAATACAGCTGTCATCAATGTTAGCACCATGATGCCAAAGTTAATACCATACAGTTGGACCCAGAATCACAAAACCTGGGCTTAGATCCCAGCCACCTGCTACTTGTGCAACCCTGAGCAAGATCACTCTCTGGGCCTCAGTTTCCTCATCTGCAAAATGAGGAGGTTGGACTAAATGACCTCTCAGATCTCTTCCAGTCCTAAATCTATAACTTTATGACCATTTCTATTAATAATAATTTAATTTTTGGAGGGAAGGAGAGGAGGAATTTACTTTTAAGAGACTTCACCTTGGTGTTTGTTGGGAAGTAACTGTTGTTAAAAAAGTATCAATTTAAAAAATGAAAAGAAAGAAATAATGTAATTTTAAAAATAATACCATCTATACTATGCTTTTCTCCTTTTACCTACCCTATGAGGATGTTGAAAGGAAAAGTTTGACATCTCTAGTATGATTATTTCCCTTTTCCTCTTCAGAACTTCCCTATTCTTGTCAAAGGCACCATCATCCTTCCGGCAGTCGAGGATTACAATCCTGGCATCATCCTTGTCTCCTCACTGTCACCCTACATGTCCAATCAGTTGCCACTTCTTACCAATTCTATCTGCACAACATCTCCACATCTGTCCCCTTTATTTCCACTCACGTGGCCACCACCGTGGTTCTGCTCATCATTGCCTCCTGCCTGGTCTGTGGTGACAGCCTCTTAAGCGATCTCCCTGCCTCAAGTCTTCCCCTCTCCGATCTATCCTCCACATAGCTGCCAAAGGGATGTGCCAAAAGCACAAGTCTGACTGCACCACCCCAAATTCCAGCGACTCCCTCTACCGCCTCCAGGATCCAATACAAATTCTTCTGACTGGCATTTAAAGCCCTTCACAACTCGGCTCCCGCCTTCCCATCTCTTCCCTCCACGCATTCTGCTGCCCAGTCTAACTGGCCACACCCCACATTCCACCTCCAGCCTTTGCATAAGCTGTCTCCTCACCTCTACCCCTTAGATCCCTCCCGTCAAAACTCAGCTCAAGGCCTACTTCCTCCATGAGGCTTTTCTTCATCTCCTCACCTCTAGCTGCCAGTGACTCTCTCCCCAAATTGCCTTGGATTTATTTCAACAGATGCTATATATACTTAATGTGTGTGTATCCCTATATGTGTATTTGTTGTCTACCCCTATAGAATTAAGTCCCTTGAGGGCAGAAACTATTTCATTTATGCCTTTGTTTCCCCAGTCTAGCACAGTCCTTGGCACGTGGTAGGTGCTTAAAACTGCTTGCTGATAGACTAATGGACTCTGTTTTTGTTAGATACACATAAGCAACCATGAGATAATGGAAGCTACAAACTTCAAAGTTAAAAAACAAACTTTTTTTTCTGAAATTTAACTCTACAGCAAAGTTAATGTCACTGAAGTCTCTGTTTAATTTAAACGAAGTAAAAAAAAACATAACACCTTTCCCTTACCTGAATAAAAGTTTCCGCTGGGGTGGGAGAAGGAGCCAAAACAAATCTTAGTTTATCAGAATCCTGTGGATCTATATCAACGAACACTTCACGCCATCCTTGTGGGGTTTTCTAGATAATTAAACAAACACTGGAGTTTCAGTTTTGCTTTCTAAATGGCTTCCAGCCTACAAATACTTTCTGTATATGTCCTGCTGGTGAAATGTAAGGCTGTTGCCATAGCAGCCCTTACAGGTGAGAGGCAGAGGCAGCCATAGAGCAGAGACGTGGTTACACGTATCATGCAAGTGCTATGGATGAAGCTCCACCTAACAGAATAACTGTAATTGCTCTTAACATGAAAAGTACTAGTGCTCATATAATGCTACCAAATCTAAATAATCCACATTAAAGAATGAGGAAAAATCAAAAAAAGATTCTAAATCTCTGGAAATAATTTTTAATGTTCTAAAACAAAGTGCAGAAACTATTTTCCTATATGCTACACTGGAACACAAAATACTCCCACCTATGAATAATTAAATCCTCATAGGAATATTTGACTTTATCTCCCACTAAAATTTTTATAGCACCTTTCTTAATGTTTTGTTATTGTTCATTTTTTGATTATTTATTCCCAAGATTTCAAAATTCTGTCACACAAACAGGATTAAGTCTAACTTCAGAGGCATGAGACTAGTCAAGTAGGGAATTGCTAGTGTGATCACATAAGGTTATTCTTTGATGCCACGTCAGATTTCCCCCTTGTTAAACAAATGCAGATACAAAGTCTTTCCATCAGTACCTGAAACTTATGCACTGGAAGAGCATCAAAAAATTCATGTGCTAAATAAAAGCTGTAACCTGTTTAAAAAGGGAAAGGGAAAAGTAATAAATGTTTCAACATACTTTTTAAAAAGCTCTCAAATAATGCTTGAGGGAGACAGCTGCCACTCCTTCTACTGCTGTATCTCCATTTTTGTAAAGCCCTGTATTGATAGCATACTTGTCTCCCAGAAGATCAAAGTACGTCACAGGTTTAAAAAACAACTCACAAAAATGATGTCTACAATGCAAGACAGAAAGCGGACACATTAGTACTATCTTCATTTGTCAAATAACTAGGGCAACGAGAGGACAACTGACAACAGAAATTCATGTCACTTAAGAGCCAAGAACCAAGAACCAAGGCCTCTCAACTACTGGTTTTCTAGTGGTGGGTGGCTTTCTTGACAAGCTGAATCTTCTATTCACTACCAAAAATTACCACTGAGACCCTAAATTTAGGGGTTAACAAAAATTCTGTTCTGGGTAAAATAGATGTTTTCAAAAGGAGAAAAAAATAAAACTTACATATTAGGATTTGCTTCTTTCCTTTGGCTACATCACTACCATTAACTATCAATCAATGAAATCAATCAATAAACATTTATTAAACATCTACTACATGCCAGGCACTGTATTAAGCACTGAGCATGCAAAAAGAAACAAACGATAGTCCCTGCCCTCAAGGAGCTTACAATCAATTGAGGGAGCTTACACTCTATTCTAACTACATTACAGCAGGCAGGGGAATGACTGATAAGACAAAAACTACAGGGAATGGTAACTTTTAAAAACCTTTTATACATCAAAAATTTGTAAAGCAGCATGGCCTTAACTG